GAACGGAATGTATATAAAATATATTATTCACCTTGCTTTGTATTTAGAATGAAATCCCAGCTTTTATTTTAAATAGCTTATTACCTATTCAGTTGCCCTAGGAAGGGGAGAACTGAGGCCCCAGAAAACAGTGTGTTCAAATTGATGCAGCTAATGAGGATCTGAGCTGGATGGTAGATGAGGTCTATGTGACTCCCAGGTATTTCATTTTGCTGCCCTCTCACCTGTTCTCTCCAACTCTCTGCCCATGATAGTGGGAAGGTAGAGCATCATCAGGGTATGTGAGCTCTGGGGATTTGGGAAGATAATGATAGATGAATTTAGGAAGGAAGTTTATGCACTGACACTGTAGCAAAGCAGATTGTGTGAAGCCTGTCTTTAGAGAGCATTTAGAGACTAGTGGTGGGACCACAGCACTTCCAAGAGGAGTACTCACTGCCCTAAGAATAAGGGGACAGCACCTGGCTTCTTTTCTTTGTGAATGTTCAGTAAAGGGTTTCTTCCAAATGGTCTTTACTCCTTTGCTCCTTGTGAATATGACCATGGGCTCCTTTTGGCTTTGCTTTCTATAGTTTCTCCTTGACAAATAGTATTCATCATGGGGTCAAAGCCCATCTCCTCTAAGAAATAGGTTCTGGATAGCCCCTCTGAGCTTGGTTTGCTTCCTCCTTCATATTTTCCATTATAATACCATGTACTTGATGTGCCCACTCATTATAGATGCCAGGTACAACATTAGCTCATTAAATTTCCATAGTGCTCGTTCATTAATTCATCAAATATTTACTAAGCATCTACTATATTTCAAGGACTGTACTATGCTACAGGGATAGAAAAGACCACAATTACAGATTTGTTCTCATTGAGTTTGTAGGGGCAAGAGAGGTTAACCAAATAGTACTAGAAACATTTTAACCCAAGTTGAGATAAGTGCTTCAGAGGGAAGAAGTACGGTGTCATGAGAATATATAAAAAAGGGAACTTGGCCAGGTAGGGGGTGTCAGGAAAAGCTGAACCAGGAAAGCACAATCTGAACTGAGATCCAGTGGGTGCATGATTGTCAACTGGAATAGTGTGTATGTGTGTGCAGATGCACACGTGTGTGGTGTGATGGTGGTGGCGGGTGGATAGGAGCGGGGAGAGGGGAGGGACAGACTACAGGAAGACAAATCCTTTGGCAGGTGGTTGTATGGACCTTCTAGGGAAGGGAAAAGGCCATTGTGGATGGAGCAGAGAGGTGAGGGGAACACAAAGCAGAGATGTGACCAGGGATGAGACTCTAGACATCCTTGTAAATATTCTGGTTTTTACACAAGGGAAATAGGAGGACACTGGGTAGTTTTAAGTAAAGATACATGTGTCGTGAGCAGACCTGAGGCAGGCACCTGCAGTTACACAGCTAGTGAGTGATGTCACAGGGACTTAACCCCTGTCAGGTAAATACCCACACATTTCATTCTTAAACATTCAGGAAATCCATGGTGAGATACTCATTCTCTTTCTCTCATGTCTTAAGTCTGAAAAAAAAAGCATCTACTTTTAGAGTAGAAATAGAACTAATTAGAGTGAATACTATTAAGTTACCACTCTGTACAAGGTATTGTCATCTTATTCAATCACAGCTATCCTGTAAGGGCAGCTTTGTGTCCCCATTTTCAAGATGAGAAAACAAAGGTTCAGAAAGTTAGGTAAGCACTGGCTGGTGTGGCTCAGTGGATTGAGCACGGGCCTGCAAACTAAGGGATCGCAGTTCGATTCCCAGTCAGGGCACATGCCTGGGTTGCAGGCCAGTTCCAAGCAGGGATGCACAAGAGGCAACCATACATTGATATTTCTCTCCCTCTCTCCTTCCCTTCCCTCTAAAGATAAATAAATAAAATCTTAAAAAAAAGAAAGTTAGGTAATGTGATCTATTGTAAGAGTAGCTGGGATTCGAACCCATTTTCTCCTACTCCAAATTTAGACAACCTCCATCCAAAACACAACACTGTCCCCTTTGGGTACTCTCTTCCCAAAATGGATGGGAAGGTAGGAGTGGGAGGTAAGCCTAGGAACTCAGGGACCAGGTAGGACCTGCTACACCAATCCAGGAGAGAGGTGAAGGTGGGAATGGAGATAGTAAGTAGACTCGAGGCAAAAAGAACCAGTAGAATTTGAATTAGATACATTTTGGACACAGGGTAAAGGGACGTCTCTGGTGGCTGGCTCGAAGTCAGGGCAGATGGTGACACCATTCACCCCAGGGAGCAGGTGTGTGGGAGGGAGGGTGGAGCTTCTCTGTGCTGTCCATTCCTAGGACAGGCGGGCTTAGATGAGCCACTGGAAGTCAGTAGGGAGATCTGGACTGTTTGTTGGATGTTGGCAGAAAAAGATTTCCTTATTCTTGTGCAGATATATAATAAATGTCCGCTGAAGTGGAGATTCCTCTGCTCTGATCTATGACCGTTGGTTTTGTCAGTTGGGCCTTCTTTGCCTCCCAGCTCACACTCCTAACATTCCCCAGACTCTCTGCTCTTTTGTTCTCTTGCCTGAGGACATTACCCAGCATGCTCCCCTCCATCAGAACACAGGTGGGTAAGAGTGGTCTTTTGTTCAAAGGGATTTCCCACTCTACTTTATGGTTTAAGGAGAAAACGATAATTCACCAAGCCCCAGTTCATTCACGGAATTATACCAACTTCCCAAGCATTGCCTTACACATTCTAAATCAAGCAGCTGGCTTTTAAAATGCGAACCTAGAATCTCTTGGCAAATGGGAAAAAAAGTAAGTATGATGTATCACTCCAATCTTGCAGCCTGTGTAATGCAGACATTTCACTCCAGGGAATGAACTGTATGCCTGGAAGCAGACTGTAAATGCTGGATTTGTGAGCAGACCATTTGAGTTTTAATGGCCTGTGGCTGCCTATGATAAGCACCAAACGTTATGACCACCACGGGGCAGCTAGACATCATTCCTCAGTAACATTCTATAGTTATCAGGAATTTTTTATCTGATTATTCCAGATAATTTTCTAATATAAGATGGTAGAACCCACACAATAGGAAGTTGGTAAATTTAAAATTTTAGATACCCCAATGACAATCTCAAGAAGAACAAAATACACTCTACTTATTGAAAAGTAAGCACATGTCATCCTTGTCTTCAATAGCAAAAAGGTCAGTGTGGACTGTCGGCTGAAGGGCAGGGACCACCTTAGTGATGGATCCTAGGCAGGCTCTAACCTTCAGGGCTTGGTCTGCCTCTGACAGAGTGAGGCTCCACTGGACAAATGCCATGTCCTTCTCCTGCACCAATGCCAGACTGTTCGTGCAGTGTTTACAACTCTAGCCAGGGACTGACTTTAGCATGGCCCCTCTTACTCAGTGATGGAGAAAACTCCAATGTAGCAGAGCCTACAGGTCTGCAGAAACAGAAGGAGCCGGGATCCAGGCCCTGCACTCTGCTCTGCAAAGGCCCGAGAATCGCTTGGAAGCAGACCACAGGAGGACCGAAACGAAGCTGACCTCGGGTGTGAGCCAGGAGGAGTTACCAGACGCAGCAGAGTACACACATCTGCTGTGGAGTTGCACTGAATGCCGCACTCTGGGGGCTGGCAGAAGTTGACCCAATGGCACGTGGAGCCAGCCAGCAGGGCGTAACTAGAGTCTTTGGGGCAGCTCTCCCCTTTTAAGGGGCTTTGGGGAAAGTGGAAAAGAAGAAGAGGCAGATGTCACTGAGGTGGGAAGCCATATTCAGTCAAGTGCCAGAGGGATTCTGGGAAATGGCACAAGTCTGAGGATGTGGAGAAGCCTGCACAGCCCTAGGGTGGGGAGACAGACCCCTCTGGGAGCCATCAGAAGAGGGTGACTGGTGGCTCTAACTTGACATTCATACAGAAGGAGTCCATCCCAAAATGGGGACCGTTTCACTGATGCTCTGACATTCTGCTAGTTTTCAGTGTTAATTTCTTCCTCCATTCTCTTCAGACTTGGAAAGAACCAATCTCCAAGGGCCCATTTGACTAGAGAAGCAGCCCTTACTATCCTGCTCCAGGCCTGGAAAACACCAACGCCTTCTCCCCAGATGACTTACATTTTAGGGCCAGGAATGGAGGAGGGGGAGTAAAGCCTTTTCTTAGAGACAGGCCAGTGAACACACCTTATTATAAAAATTGTAGTAACTATCAGTTACCGAGTGTTTACGATGGCCAGGCACTGGGCTCTATGCTTCACAAACATTACGTATTTCATCCTCAAAAATACCTTCTGGGAAGAGGTCATTCTTATTCTTTTATACCAGAGGAAGCCAGAGCAATGAGAGGTTTATAAGTTGCTTAAGGCCACACAATAAGGAGGATGTGAACGCAGGGCTGACTCTAGCTTAGTTACCCCTGAAACACCAGGCCCCAAAACTGTGGTCAGGAGAAAGCTTCAGCTCTCCTGAGGGTCCCCAAACCTCACCTTACACCATCCCTGTGGATCTGTGACCATAAGTGGGACAGATCCTGAAACAAAAGCCTGTCGCAGGGTGTGAGCCAGGGGAAGATGCCGGACGCCAGCAGGAGAAACAAGTTGTTTTAGCTTACTTCTTCAATCAATGTTCATTTGGGGACGAAATATATTTATTTTTGTGATTCCCTACTAGCCCCCACAGGATGCCAAGGGCATCTGATGGTCAATGTTCATGAAAACGGACATTAGCATATCTGTCGCCAGCTGTGCTAAAATGGTGCCTCTGAAAGTGTGGTCCTCCATCAGCAGCATCGGCACTGCCTGCGGACCAGTTAGAAACACCACTTCTCAAGCCCAACCCCGGACCCACGGAATCAGAAAGTGCAGGGAGTGGCCCAGCCGTCGTGTGGGAACCAGTCCCTCAGCTCGTTGCATGCAGTAAAATTTGAGAATTGCTCTAAAGTTCCCAGAGGTGGCACAAATTCAATGATTTTTTTTGCATAGAATTACTTTTTTCTTTCTTTCACTCTTGCTTTTTTTTTTTTCTCTTTAAAAGATGTTTTTACCTCATTTCCAAATCTTCACTCTCCTGTGGTACAAACTTGTACAAGGCAACATAGGTGTTCATCTGTAATGGGTCTTTGGGAAGAGGTTCCTGAAAGGGAAAGTATAAGAAGAATTAGAGAAGAAGTAAGAAATTGAGAGAAGAAGAAATTGGTGAAGTTAATGAAATGTAATTAAGTATATGGAGCTTAAGGAATAAACTGTCTAACCATTATTAAAGACCATGGGCTTATTTTAGTTTTTATTTTTTGTTTCAACTATTGGTTTGTTTTGCTTTACTTTTAATTTCTTAGATGAGGTTGATTTTACTACAAACCATTCGAAAACAGTTATGTGGAGGTCTTTGTCAGAAATACTACAATTTTCTTCAAATAATATTTTATATTTAGTCACTCATGAAAGGCGATACAGGCTTGGCCCCAGGAATGAGAATATGCTCCCTATAGAAAGAGGGACATGTGACTAAAAATAAACGGTTCCTCAAATTGAGTTTTGAAATTTTTTTTTATTTTTCAATTACAGCTGACATTCAATATTATATTAGTTTCAGGTGTGCAGCATAATAGTTAGACATTTATATAATTTATGAAGTGATCCATAAAATTGACTTTTAAAAATATTTTATTTATTTTTAGAGAGAAGAGGAGGGAGGGAAAAAGAGAGGGAGAGAAACATTAATGTGTGGTTGCCTCTCATGCGCCCCCTACTGGGGACCTGGCCCACAACCCAGGCATGTGCCCTGACTGGGAATTGAACTGGCAACCCTTTCCTTCACAGCCCGGTGCTCAATCCACTGAGCCACACCAGCCAGGGCTAAAATGGACTTTTTATGAGTTGCAAAAAGCACAGATTTTGACATCAGACATATTTAGTTTATGTCATGGAATCACCATCTACCAGCTATGAAACCCTGCAATAATGATAATAAAATCTGCTATTTGTGTGGCAGGCAGCATGTTTCATTTGTTAGCATGACCTCCCAGCAGCCCTGTGGGGAAGATTTTATTGTTATCTTCAATTTGTAGACTATAAAGAGAACTATAAGTGTTATATAAATATTAGTTACTATTATTAACCAAGTAAATGGAAATGCTCTATATAATGTTATGCTTTAAATTACATATAATAAATTAAAAATTATATAATATATAACAATTGTATAATACTACATACAGGTATACATAATATGTAATAATATATAATTATATACTATATTTAAATATATAATCCAATAAATATGTGCTGTACATAAAACTAAAAGAATACACAAATATACCCTTCTTATTTGATTTATTCTGCTATCCAAAGCTAAAGTATGTTTTATTTTATTCTCTTGATTCTATCAGTTTATTCTGTCCTAGGGACTCTATTCTAATTATATATAAATGAATATAAAAATAAGAATATATATTTACATACTATAAAATATAGTCAATATATTATGCCACTATATAATTTACACACTATGGAGAATATATCTACTTGCATGTAACATACATGTAGAAGTGAAAACTGCCTTCTGTGGCATCCATAAATACCTGGTGGTTTATGTTCTTTGCTTGGTCTTGGACATCGTCAGTGCCATTTTCTGGATACGTAAACACTGCAGGGGACAGAGAAAGCAGGAGTGTTATGAATCCAGTCACCATGTTTGGGAAACATGCTCGAAAGGCGTGGCTTATTATTCCCTGTACCACAGATTGCACTTCACTCTGATCCGCTGCCATTTCCTTGCTCTTAGTGACCCTGCTCTCATGCCATTGTCCACGTGGCGCTTCCCTGACTCCCCATGCAACATTCAGAACAGCCTTCTCTGCGTGCTCACACCCTGTACATGCGTCCTCTCGATTGCCTGGCAGTTGTGTGGTTACAACTTGGCCTCATTTGACAGTGCTATTCTCATGAATAGAAAGCGTGCCATTCATCTTTGTAAAATGTATCAAATCATTGTTATGGGGTGGAGGGTGATGTATGGCCCTATTTAATGATATTTAAGTTTACTTTTCTAAATACCGGATTCACCTATATCAGTATCTTGATTCTAGTTTCTTAATGATGTCTGTATTCTATTTTGCAGATTAAAGCTTTAGCTTTAAATTTCATAATAGTTCCTTGATCTCTTATTGTCAATGCATGGAAGTGATTATTTGGATTAAAAAATAAAATCATGGTTTCTCAGTTAGTTTGTTCTTTGGTTGTACATTTTTCTCGCTTTTGCATTTCAGCAGCCACTTTGTGGCCTCTGATAAAAAACAAGGCTCCTCAGATTGGGCAGGAAGCTTCCTGTCCACAACACAGCTGTGGGAGCTCCCTGACAGGTATGAAGGCTCTGCCTTGGCCAGTTCTATCAGCCAAGTGCACCCTGGTGACCAAAGTCATGGCCTTATTCCCACTGCGTGCCTTCTCTTTAAACACAAAGGTGGCAGATGTTTCCAAGCTTATACAATACAGTTATGGTGTCTAAATCAACCTACCACTTAGATGACTTGACATTTAAAAATCACACATTGCTGCCTTATTATTCCTTTTGGTTATCCTTTTGATTATCGAGGAAATATCAGTAGAGGTAGAGAAAGGTCTATCTACCACAAGAAGCTCTATCACCAATTTCAGTGAGGGCATTGACAACTTCCACTGTCCATAACTCAATGACTGTGGGTAGAAAACGTGCTTCAGAACAGCCTCTGTAAATGAGCCAGTGCATGGTAAACAGCTGTTCTCCAGTTTGCAGTTCCAGGGCCTAGGGACGCAATCCCATTACCCCTAGGAGACCAATATGCAGTCACTGGAGAAGCTTGGGTTTTTAGGTGACTGGAAAACGAAGCTCCAATCCAATGGCCCTCATTTGCCCCAATATTTGACCACTCAACTTAGTTTAAAATCAGTAGAAGCAGCAATACTTTTCACTGGTATAATGTGAGTACCTAAAATCCTGGTGGAAATACTTGATTCCGTAAGCAGAAAACTGGATACTTCTAAAAGAATATTAAATATTTGAATAAAAACCCTCAAAGAGAATCTTCCTAGAAAACTGCTGATTGGCGCTAAAAGGGGAACTGCATAAGGTGTACACGCAATGAGTGGTTTGGGCTGGCTTTACAATTTGGTAATTTCACCTCATTTTAGCTTTATATTGAATATCCATTAGACATCTGGTATCATTTTTGTGAACTACACTAAACGTCATTTGAAGTGCCCCCAAATGTGTTTTCAGCTATGCGGTTGCAAGCAGAACTAAACAGTGCCAAAATGCTTTTTAAAGCCCATTCCTTCCAGAATCAAGTCTGACTTTGGTCTGAGGGAAAAGAAATAAGAAAGGTAACTGTTTTACCAAGATACATATATCATACACCTTTTATATTTGGTTCTTTACATTTATTTTATTAAAAATAATTTGAGGGGCTCGATGGCCGTGGAGCTCCTGGAACTGGCCCGTGGCCCCCGGAACTGGCTCTGGGGCCCGAGACGTGGTCCGGGGTCCTGGCCCACTAGACTGGCCTCATCCTGACACTGTGCAGTGCTCAAGAGAGGGAAGTGACTCAAGTTCTGAGCCCACGATGTCTGCTCTGGATGAGTGACCGTGGCGGACTATTTCAACTCAGACCCAGCTGTTGTGAGGTCTGGCTGGGTCAAGAAAGCTGTTGCCAAGCAAGAAGTAAAATCTCTTTGTGGCTTGAAAGGTTCTCCAGTTCCTGCAATGGAAGCTCTTTCTGGGGCTGTGGGAGCCCTGTGACTTCATTGACAGCAATGATGAGATGGATGCCCAGACGGGAGAGAACTGTCTCCAGAAAAAAGAAAACCAGGAGGCACAGAGACCTGAACGGGGCTGGAGGAGGAGAGTACCCATGGATATCTGGCTGTGGCTGGCCTCCTACAGTCTGCCCTGAGGACCCTGTGAACTTCTCCCTGATTTGTAAGAGTGCCTGGACTGCCACCTGCACTGCTGCCTTTTGAACCAGGTTGTGCAGAGGCACTACACACTGGACTCCTCTGCCTTTGCGCCTGCGACCAGAGTCCCTGGAAAAGCTGCGCTGCCTCTGGGCATGCGTCATCTGATCTCTGCACCACAGAGACGAGCGCTTTGCTGCCGGAGACTCCCCACACCCCACCATTGCAGAGAGCACGCCCAGCTCATTAAAGAATTTCAAAACAGATTGTTGGGCACAAACAGTAACCAATGTGGAACTTCGACTTCAAGTTCAAAACCAGTTCCTAGATTAAGGAGCAAGTGCATTGGGTGCTGCAGCCTCCTGTTCAGTACAAACATGTTCATGCCAGCGCCGACCAGGACTGCTACCTCCTGGAGGTCACCACCTCAGTTTCACCTTCCTTCCCTTGTGGGAATGATAGTCACTCTCTTTACGATCCATGTGAGCAGGGAAATGCGGCATCATCGATGAGACTGGTGTTGCAAGACTCTTCCGTTCGCAGTGGGGGGAAACTGTGCAGTGAGCAGGGCGCACAAGTCATCTTGGACCCAGAGCACAGCGTTTGACTCAGACTGGTGACGTCCTCAGTACCCGTTCTCCCTGGAAGCATAGTCACTGTGTCCTGTCCCTGTGGGCAGGCTGGGCCAGGCCAGCCCCACTGGTCATCAGAGTCCCGTGTGGTACCGGCAGGTGGTTGGTTTATCTGGTTAGTAACGGGGATGCCCCTGTTGGGGGAAGGGGAGGGCTTGAACCCCATGTTCTTTGAATATAAAGAGGGAAAACAACTATGACTTCTAAACACATTTTAGTGTAAAAATTTCATTTGAAAGGACAAACCAGGCCTCATTATCTGTGTTACACCCCATTTGGTGCTATTGAGTTTGTTGTTCTTTGTTTTTTTATCCCAATGGTCTTGCTCTGGGGAAAGGTGAGACTGTTGAATCTCTAGTCAAGGAAGTTTAAGCATGCCCTGTGGATCAGAAGAAACTCAGAGGCATAGAATTGTGGCTACTGTTGCTTCCAGGTCAGCTGCCCCTCAAGTCCAAGTGAATATTTTCTCCCTTTCTCCTTCTCCAGAAATAAAGCAGGTGACAGGGATTTCAGAATCTTATTAAAAAATAATTTGATTGTTAATTTCATCCATGACAAGCATTCAAAGAATATGTCCCTTATTGAGGCATATTTTCTTTTTTAAATTAAATTTATTGAGGTAGACTTGGTTAAAAACATTATCTAAGTTTCAAATGTACAATTCTACAATATATCATCGGTATATTGCATTGTGTGTTCACCACCCAAAGCCTGGGCTCCTTCCACCAGGATGTATTTGACCCCCTGAAACTTCTTCATCCTCCCCCCCTTCTAGTGACCACCGTACTGTTGTCTGTGTCTGTGAGCTTGTTTGTTCATTTGTTGCTTTGTGTTTTATATCCCACATATGGGTAAAATCATATGGTTCTTATCTTTTTCCATATGATTTATTTCATTTAGCAGTATTTTCTTCTATAGACACACAATGAATCTTTAGTTTTTACCATACCTCCAAAGGACTTGCGTCTGCTCCTTTTCTATATTCTTTCTTTTTTGCCTTGTAGTCCTGTGAGGCCCATGTCCACCAGTGTGTTTTCTAATGAGATGATTATTATGACTTTTTTATCTGTATCCCGATAGTGCAGCTAGTTACATAATTGGCTTATCTGACATTGACCCAAATTTGCATCCCTGAAATGTCCAATTTGGTAATTAAGCATTGGCTTTTGCAAATATATTATTGGATTTAGTTTACTAAGATCTTGTTTCAGATTTCTGTTCCATGTTCAAGGGGGAAACTAGCCCGTGATTTTCCTTTCTCATACTGTCTTTGGTTTTGAGGTCAGTATTATAGTAGCCTCATAAACTAAGTTAGATGATGTTACTGTTCTTTCTTCTTGCTACTTTTTGTTGTCCAGGAAGAGCTTACGTGATATTGGAACTGTCTGTTCCTTAAATGTTTGGTAGCATTTACTTACATAGTTGACTGGACCTTGTACTTTCATTGCACAAAAAATGAAAGTGTTGATTCCATTTCTATCACAATTAGAGGCCAAGTCAAGTTTTCTATTTCTGTTACTTCTTGAGTCACTTTGGTCATTGATATTTTTCTTGGTATCTGCCCATTTAAAAAGAGTTTTAAGATTTATTAATTTCTGCATATTCATTCTTTTTATTACTGCTTTTAATTTTGGATCTCTATTTTATTCTTAAAATTGCCAAATGTTATAAATTTAATTTTTAAAGAACCACTCTTAGGGTTTATGATCTGTCTTGGTAGTTTAATCATTTCTGCTCTTATCTTTATTTACCTTCCTACTGCTTTAACTGGCCTTATTCTATTTATTTTTTCTGACTTCTTAAATATGATGCTTAGATCATTACTTTTTAGCATTTCTTACTTTTTTAATAAAATAGTTTTAAGCCTAAATAGTTACAACTTTAGCTGCATTCCACAAGTTTTGATGTATAGGGTTTTCCCTATTACCTAGTTTTAAATCTATTCCAATTTTCATTGTGGACTCTTTTTTTTAACACAAGCATTTTAAAAGTGTGTTCTAATTTCTCAGATTATGGGTTTTCCCACTTATCCTTTGACTTGATTTCTATGGTAGCCAGAAAGATGTGTTCTATATGATATTAATTTATGAAGCTTGCTTGTGGCCTAGCAGGTAATCGATTTTTATAATTGTTCCAAGTGGTCTTAAAAAGAATGCAAATTGTCCATTTGTTAGATGGAGTGTCCTTTTCAAGTCAATTAGAATTGTCTAATGGGTCCTTAGTTCCTCTAGGTTTGTATTGAATCTTTTTGTCTATCCAACTTGCCAATGACTGAAAGCCATGTTAAAATCCCTCACTACGAAGGGGCATGTCAATTTTCCTAATAGTTCTATCAATTCCTCTTTGAGTTTCTGTTATTTAAAGGCTACATATTAGGCAGATGGAAGTTTACCATTTATATCTTCCAGTGAAGTAAACGTGGCCATGTAAGGATGCTATTCTCTAGTAATGCTTCCCCCCCAATCTTCAAGTCCATTTTCCCCACACATATAATCTTTCATTTGCTTAACATTTGCCTAAAGTAACTTAAAAAATTTTAAATTATTTTTCAATTACAGTTGAAATACAATATTATGTTAGTTTCAGGTATAAAACACAGTGATTAGATATTTGTATAACTTTTGAAGTGATCACCCAGTAAGTCTAGCACCCATCTGACACCCTACATAGTTATGACAATATTATTAACTATATCCCCTCTTCTGTGCTTTATAATCCTGTGGCTGTTTTTATAACTACCGATTTGTACATCTCAATACATTTACCCTGGCAACTATCAATTTGTTCTCTGTATCTATGAGTTTGTTTCCATTTTGTTTGTTTTGAATTCCACATATAAGTGAAATCAGATGGTATTTGCCTTTCTCTGTCTGACTTGTTTCACTGGGTGTAATACTCTCTGGGACCCTCGATATGGTTTCAAATGGTCTAGATTCTAATTGTGTATTATAAAAACACATGTAATATTTGAATCTGTAATTTGGGAATTGTCCACTGGAGGGGGACCAGAACCAGGAGCATCTGCCAAGAGAGCCATTAAAATATTTGCTCCCTTTTCTTTTGGTGACAACTCAAAACTTGAGATACAGAACCAGTGCATACTAAAGGCAAGAATAAATTTTACAAATATGTGCTTGCCACTTTCCTTCCTGGGCAAAAATTCCTTGGCTTTATTGCAGCCTCAGATTCTACTGGGCTGTGTAACATTCTCAAGTGAATGTGATTAACCCAGTCCCTTTAAAAGACTATTTCTAGGAATCTGTCTTGCTTATGTTCTTTTCCCTCTACTTTTCTTCCAGGAAAGTTATGATCACATACACTTAGACTGAAATACAATTATCAAAGGCAGTTATTGACATCATTATCTGGCATTTTGAGCCTAAATAGGCAGCCTAGATTTTTGTTCTCCCTTTGCTTACCACCTTGCTTCCAGTGGAGTGTCTGGCAGTTGAAGCAAAGGTGAAGACCAGCGGCTCTCCCCTTGTATATTTTTGATGCATCCAGAAATGGTGTTGAAAACAACAACCAGAAACACTTAGACCCTCCCCAAGAGCCTCAAGGAAGAGAAAGCAGAGACTGCACTCTTAACAGTAAAGACATGAGCACGAATTGCACCCTCTTCTAAGGTGGCTTTGGAACTATTCCTCCAGGACAACATACCACTTGAAGGCAGAAGTAATAACCGTGTGCACTGTGCCTGTCTCAGAACATAAAGGAAACATGTAGTGCAGAACCGTTTGAGCCTGGAAACCAAGTGCTGCTTCTGAAAAGCCAGCACCATCCTCACCACAATGCTGAGAAGACTAGAGGCAACCAGGGCTCCTGAGCGGGGTGTTTGCCCTATGCTGTTTCTTAAACTGCATGGACAAGGGATTGAATCTAATCAAAGAAAATGTTTTGAAACAAACTGCTGCATTATTAATCTCTCTTGCTTCCAAGGGTGCATTATAAAGAAAGCAACTACTAATCAAAGGAATGGCTAATATATCTGCAAAGCTTGTTAAAGGTTTATTGCTTGCTAGGTTCTTTTCACAGATTTCTTTGAGTAAGTGTGTAAAAATGTCCCCTTAACATAAAAAGATGGTGAATCTTTTGAGTCTTTGAGTGTATTACTCAGTGCCTTAGTTTCCCTCTCTAATGGTATGTGGTGTGTGTATATCTGTGTGTGTACTTGTATTGGAGGGGAGGAGTTTGGCTCCATGACTTCTAATCCTGCTTCTCCAACTTTAACGGGATTCCTGTCACAGATTCATATATGAATTCTGATTCTGCAGTTGTTCTAGAACAGCCTGAGATTCTGCATTTCTAACAGGCTCTCAGGTGGTGCCCAGGCTGAAGCTGATGGGCTACACTTGGAGTAGTGAGGCTCTAAATGGCATCTCTGACACTTTATGACCTTACGATGACTTAATAGCAACTGTGCTTCGTATTGGTGATTCCTATAGGGATGATGATTCCTTCACATTATAAATCCTATGAAGACCCCTCATTGAGTAAAGAAACCCCAAGGGCCAATATAAAGACCGTAACCACTAAGGGCACAGGTGAACAACGGCATCAGGAGAGCTGGACCAGGATGAATGAGGCAAGTGGAAGACACAGGCTGGGCAAGGTTTTGAAGAGCAGCCGCTAAGATCTGTTGACAGATTAGATGTGAGGTGTGAGAAGAAGGGAGAGTCAAGGCTGCTGCCACAAGTTTTGGCCTGATCAACTAATAGAAGGGAGTTCCTATTTACTGAGCAGGGCAAGCCGGGAAGAGCCAGTATGGGTGGATAGGTGGGTGAAGTAATCAGGAATCCAGTGTTAGCTTAGAGATGCCTATTCCCCATTCAGATGGCCATATCCAGGAGGCTGTAGGTGTCTAGAGGCAACAAAGAAGCCTGGTCCTGGAAATGGGGTTTCAGTGATCAGTGTATACATGGTACTTACATTCATTATCTCATTTAAAGATCACGACATCCTATAGATTTGGTGATATGATTATCCTCATTTTACAGATGAGTCAACAGAGGTAGAGAGAGGCTAGGTCACTGCTTCACAGCCACGTGTTCACCAGGTGCAGTCCAGTAGTCTGCCACCAGAGCCAGGAGGGGCCAGGGACCAAAGGTGTCCAGCATGGTTGGTGATGAGGAGGCCCTCATGTTGGTGAGGAGTGCAAGCAGAAGTCAGACTCAGGAACAGAGCAGCTAACCAGACCCAGAAGCATTAAAACGCAGGCATGTTTGGATTATATCCCAGTCTCTTGTGAGTTTGTTCCTCAGATGCTGAAGAACCCCGAGGTTGCTGACAAAATTCAGCTGCTGGACCTGCAATGCTGGACAGATGTGGGCTGGGACAGTCCTGCCATGTTACTGCTTGTTGTGAGCATCCCCTGACCATCGGCACTCTTTAGTTTGTCTCTCTGATGGCACTGCTAAGTGCTCAGTGAGTGTTTGCATTGACTCAAAGTGCAGTTTCCCCATGTGATGCAAAGAATCCTTCCCCTCGAAGCATGGTTTAGCAGATGTGTGCAGGCTTGGCAAGGCGGGCTGTGCAAATGCTGGTGCTTGTTTAGCAAGGAGAGTCACGGGGGGAGCTAAGTGCGTGCTGCCTTGTGGGACTCCTAGCAGCACAGCTTTAACTAGAGAAGAGATGAACATGGGTTCCTGGGACTGAGGAAGCGAAAGTGATGCTTTGTAAGATAGTTGCTGACAAAGCAGCTACGAGATGTTGCTTCCAGTCTGGAAAAGGCAGGGCAGACTGCCAAGTGGAAAACCTACCCAAGGGGTATGTTCCCACGCTTCCCACACAGGCATGAGAGTCGGGAGGGGCAACCTCTGCCTTGAGGATGCACTCAGCCCAGTAAATGACACAAGTCAGGACATGCAGCCTTGCTAGGTTACGAGTGGCCTGAGGACAGCGTCAGTGATGTAGGTCCCTTTGCTGGGGATAGTAAATGCTTCATAAATGTTTTCCGAATAAACGCGTGGAGATTAAGTAGTTGTTCATGTTATAGAGGCTCAGCAGGATGCATTCATAAGAGGCTGGTTATGTTTGCTTAAGCTCTGGTTTAAGAGGTGGTTCTTTCTTAATGTTAGCAAGCAATTGTATGTAGTTATCATTTAATAACTATTTTAGAAATTATTGTACTAGGGCTTAAGCTATTAGAAAGTTAAATGATATTAATAAGGAATGTTGGGCTAGATTGCACATCCTGGAGACTTAGTTGTCCCTGCTGGGAGGGAGCCACATGTGAGGCTGCTACTCACATGTGGCCCGCCACCCCTCTGGGCTGAGGTCCTTCCGGTGTGGCGTGGAGTAGCTTCTCTGTGGCTTTGTTGGTCTTATGTAGGTTAGTGGGGGGTATGACACATTATCAGAAAGTCCTGGCAGTGACTCCTAAACCCCATTATAGTTAAGTCCAGGAGTTCATGAGAACTCAGGCAGCAGAACTCAGGGATCATTGTACTCAAATCACTGAAATCCACCAGTAATGATGGCCAGTTGCTCTCCAGAATGTTGAGCACTTGCCCAGGCTGAATTCCTGAGCTAGCTAGCAGAGGAAGCAGGAGGACTGGAAACCTACTTTTCTGCCTGCTGACTTGGACTAATGTGATTCACATTTGTGCTGGGGCCCGACTCCCCATTCCCTCACTTACCGCTGTTGCTGCGCTTCCGTAGGTCGTACCCGTCTCCAAGCCCGTCAGCTTCTTCAGGAACCTCGACGAGATCCGATGTCTTGGAGAAAAGAGGGGACAGCATGGAATGAGCAATGTCCTGTCAGTGGGTCAACTGAACAGAGATTTCCATGTCAGTAGAACGACTGAGGTAGAATTTGCATGACACTGTCTTAAGAATCCAATCACTGCTTTCTTGTCCATTTGGCTAACTTCAGAGAGGCTGTGTTTTCCCTCATGGGCACTGTCCTGTTTTTCAGATATCTGTGGCAGGCTCAGGGCTTGGCCCATAGTAGGTATTCAATGCGTGTTGGATGAGCTGCCTAATAGGTCACAGTTAGGCTTCTTCCCAGGAAGAGACAACAGAGAGAAATCAGAATTCCTGCTCATGTCCTGTGAATTAAAATTTTCGATACAACTACAGCTTTCTCTATAGGCGAGTTTTAAGTATTAATCACAGAGATGCACTACTGAGGGATGCATTACTTGGTTACAAGTTAAAAACTCCACTGCTACAAAAAAATCAATTGTTTTTGTAATACTTATTTTGGCCCCCCTTTTTAAAAATTTTTTAAAAATTTATTTAGTTACTTTTCAAGTACAGTTTTTTTTGCCCTTTTTTTAGAGTAAGAGAAGTCATAGTAATTCTTCTATTTAGGATACAAAACAACAATAGCAATAGTAATCGCACTCTACGTGGTAATGGTTTTTGATTCTTTATATATATATCATCTAATTTTTTCTTCACAATAATCCTAGGTAGACCTATTTTTCAGATAGGTACCCAAAGCCCAGCAAGAATTAGTAACTCTGCTTGATGTCCCACAGATGACAAGGGCCATCTGGGGTTCAAGCCCCAGGAGTTGTCTCCAGAGCTTGCGCTCATAAACACAGTGGTCCATCCAGGGGTGTGCTGGAGCGAGCCATTGGAGTCCTCACCACTGGTAGCTTAAACCCGATCACGGGAGGGGTATTTACACCATGGAAACTGGCAGATGCTACACATTAGGTGCAGCCTCAGCTGGTGGTTAAACATTTACTAGCACATCTCTGATTTCACATTGTCTCCTTTGAAGGGTCAGAGGCTCCCACTTCGATCTGCCTGGCTCCATAAAAGAGGAATTTAGGGAGTCTCAAAGGAGAGTCATATTTTTAAAACATTTTACTTATCTTTCCTTATCAGAGAAGAACACATTTCCCTTCTTACCTCTCCTAATTAGCTCTAGAGCACTTTAGCAGAACTCTTCAGAGACTAATCTTTATTACAAAAAAAATTAACTTTAAGATTTTTTTCAGCCATTCTTATTTTCATGATATATCAGGAATAAGAAAAACAGTAAATGTCACCGGGCCTCTAAGTCACTTGCATTTTGCTCCTTTGAATCTCACTATTGCTGAACAAAGGTTGCCATTATATTAATTTAATCTTATGAAACTGATGATTATTCATAAGCTAGCCAGCCAACTCCCAGAGTTTTCTGAATTTAGTTTCGGCAGGCCTTCTCAAAGCCGTAGAGCCTTTTGCATTCTAGAGCATTTGAAAGACCATTAAAGGAAACATAACAATTTAGAAACAGCCAGGCAGTGATTTCCCAACAACGTAAAGCAAATGCCTCTCTAGCCCGGGAAGAAAATCAACCCGCGGGACCGAGCTTTGCTATGTGGGAATATGTTAGCTCTAGGACATAGTACTGCAAGAATGGCAAGAGACCGGTTTTCATTATCATTTGCCCTTGAAGGAAGGAAGTGAATTCATTTTAAAGTACCAATCAATTGTTTCTGTTTTCCTCCATCAAGGCAAGTGGGGCTCCGGGGAAGGAGTGGAAGGAGTGAAGTGACAGATATTTCAGCACAATTTGATTTGTCCTTGTCTCCCTGCAGGTCTTAGAACAATGCTGTCACCGAGCAAAATTCCAGGAAACCTTTACTGAAGGAACCAGTGCCAGGAAGCCTAAGTGGGCTATGACAAATAGACACCTCCTTGACATTCAGAAAACTATGCTTTTTGACCGTAAAATCGGCCTGTAGGGTCCAGACAGTGCTAGAAACAAAGTTATTTTAGACATGAAAGCAAACTGGACAAGTTGTCTCCCTAACAGTCTTGCTGCTTCTTAGCAGGAGCCCAAAACGTGGAGGCTAAAAGGGTCACTGGCTCCTGTGTTTCTGAGGCTGTCTCCCCCTCAGCAGTTCTGCAGAGCTTTTACAGGAGTGGCCACCTGAGGCTCATGTGGACGGGTCAAGCTGTCCCTGGAGAAGCCTCCTTTCTGCTCTTGCCTCCCTGCCCGGCTTTGCATCTGCCTCAGCAGAGCCTGGCGGATGTGTGGGCCGAGAGAGGGATGAGGATATACAGGCTCACACCAAAGACGGGTGGTCAGGATACAGGCCAGAGTGCACAGAGTTCTCCCCACTCTGGCCAGTGCTGTTTGTGTTTATCTTTTGGATTGTTGAGTAGTATCTAGAAAAAGTCTTGACTTGCAAAGAAGGGATGGCAGCAGGCCAAGGGCCAGCTCCGTGGGGCTTTGCGGGAAATGACTTGCTGGTCCTCCTCACTCTCCCGAGGAAGGAGATGGAATGTGGTCCGTGGTGTTAGGGACATGGTTGGCATTTTTGAACCTCCAGACCTCAGATCAAGCATGAATGTGTGATTCAAGAGCTGTTCACACAGAGAAGGAGTAAGAACAAGTGGGAGCAAGAACAAGAGAATATGAAGAAGAAAGAGGAGGGGTTGGCAGGGCTGGTTTCTTGGAAATAGACTTAAGTCCTTTATTTGATTTAATGATTCTCAAATGTTAGTGTGCATCAGAGTCACCTGGAGTGTTTGTTAAAACACAGATCATTGGGCTTCACCCTCAGATTTTCTGATTCTGGAGGTCTGAGAGGAAAATGCATGTTTGCCTTTCTAACAAGTTCCCAGGCAATGCTGCTGCCGATCCAGTTACCACACATTGAGAACCACTGATTGAACGCATGGCTGGTTTTAGGTTCAACTTAGAATTTTAGAGAGTTTGACTTAGGAAGGTGTTCATTCATTCACTAACTCATTCGTTCATTCACCACATACTTAGTGAGACTATATATACAAAGACTGGAACGGTATAGGTCAGAGGTTGTCAAACTTTGGAGGGTATCAGAATCACCTATCACCTGGAGAGCTAATAATGCATACAGAATCCAGGCTTGTTAAAGTAGGACATGGCCTTCATATTTTTACAAAGCTCTTCAGTGAACATTGATACCCACTGAAGTTTGAGTATCAGTGGCATAAAGTAGTAGAAGTAAGTGAATAAGAGTCCTTACTCAGCAGCTTAGTCTAGTTGAGGAAGGCACTGCGGGAGAGAAAAATGAAACAAAAACATGAAGATTTCCAAGCAATACAGAACATTATGATGAATAAATTGGTTGCTATGGGAACTCAGGGAAGGGGTGCCCAACCCAGACCGGGAAGAGAGCTGCTATCTGCGTAGAGGCAGAGGCAGGGTGTGGGCAAGGCTCAACGACTGGAGAGGGTCTGCTAACCAGAATGGCAAACTGTGCCTGGCGCTGAGGGCAGGAGGAAGAGGTGTTGTGTGACTCCCCGAGGGCTCTGTGGTCAGTCTTCAAGAATTTCTTGTTAATTCTTCCCTATTCATCAAGCATTTCCCCAGTGCCCACTAAGAGCCAGACACTGGTGTAATGAAATGAATAAGGAATGGGGCCCTGATGTATAGAGGTTCAGCGTTTAGTTTAGAAAAAAGATGTAAAAGCAGAAAATTACAGTGCAATGCTCTAGATGCTATAAGAAAGAAAGTTTTGAAGGCTTGTGGGAGGAATAATTCACCACGCTTGGGGAGTCTGAGAGCTCTTCACAGTTTGTATAAAAACCAACCTGGGTTTTAAAGAATTTCAAGTGGGGGGAACAGCATGCTCCAAGGTATGCAGAGTCTGAAAAGCTTGGTGAGTTCAGGTGAAGGAGGATCTTTAGGGTAGTGACAGGCCTCATTTGTCTTGCTAAAGATTTGGGGCTTAAGAGAATCCATAGAGTGTTTTAATTGCACCAAGTCTCTGTTTGAGAGATGATAAATCTGGAGGTATTGCTAAGAGTAGACTCAAAAGGAAGAGTACCTTTGTAATAATCTGCATGAGAGAATATGGGTTTCAAACCATGGGCATAGAGAGAAGGGATCCTGAGTTCTGAATTATAGGAGCTCCTCACCAGTGGAGCATGAGTTTTGCGTGGTCATGCCGATTTTGAGAGATCTGTAGAACTGGTCTGGCATTTGGAAAAGATGTTACGCAGGAAATATCTCAGGGAGGCACCAGCTTAGAGACAGATGATGGTTGGACAAAAGGAATGTGTAAAAGGTAATCAGGAAAAGCACATAAAACACAAAGCCCAAGCCAAAGCAGACCCCTGGGGACACTCCAACACAGGAGTGGCTGGAGGACATGTCAGAGGAGACAGGCTGAGCAGAACAGAGTGGAACCCTGGAGTGATGCAGGGGTTCCCTACAGAGCTAAGAATAGACTGTGTTAAAGGTGGCCCTGGGAAATGCTCTTTTCAGAGAACATATTGACCTTTTGAATAGATTACAACCTTGTTTCACTTAATAAGTCCTGTTTGGAGAAATCCCAGCTGGCCTAGATGCTTAATGAAAAAAACAGCAACTGCTACTTACTGAGGGCCAATTATGCCAGACCCTGTGCTAGGAACTTTACTTATGCTATTATTACTATCCAAACCACTCATCCATAATGTATTTGTATATAATATATATCCTATTCATATGTACTTTGTATGTTCCCATTGCATTGAGCACCATTTCTATCCTCTTTTCAGTAAACAAATTAACATTATCATTGGGACTACTGATTTGATTTATAGCTCCCTAGGGAGTTCATCAGGCTCAGGCCTATGAAAATGTTACAAATTACACCCTCACTGTTTTCACTGCCTACTGAAGGTGGACACTTTTCATCTTTACTATGAAAGCATTTAGCATTTACATGGCATAGTTATTATAATGCTTAACACATACATGATATATTCTTATTCTGCATAAAGATAGGATAAGACATATAAAAATGCTAAATAACCTACCATTATCAGCTTTCTTCTCTTAGTTTGTTCTTCAGAAATAAGTTGTGATTTCTAAGGGTAAAGAGCCATGCCCTCTACTTCTTCTTTTTTGTCTGATTACCTCATTTTATTTATTATTTATTTCTTGATTACAATAGACATATCATATTATATTAGTTTCAGGTGTACGAGCAGTGATTAGAAATTTATATAATTTACTAAGTGATCATTTTAATAAATCTTTCACCCATCTGACACCATACATAGTTATTACAGTATTATTGACTATATTCCTCATGTGGTATTTTACATCCCTATGACTATTTTGTAACAACCAATTTATACTTCTTAATCCCTTCAACTTTTTTACTCATCTCCCCAACCCCCTCCCATCTGGCAAGTGTCAAAATGTTCTCTGTATCTATGAGTCTCTTTCTTCTCTTGCTTGTTCATTTTTGTTTTTTTGGACTCCACACATAAGTGAAATCTTATGGCATTTGTCTTCCTCTGTCTGACTTATTTCACTCAGTACAATACCCTCTAGGTCCATCATGTTGTTGTAGATGGCAAGATTTCATTTTTTTTAAATAGCCAAGTCATATTCTATTGTATACATGCATCACTTCTTCTTTATTATTTCATTTGTTAGTGCACACTTAGGTTGTTACCATATATTGGCTATTGTAAACAATGCTCCAATGAACATATAGATCTATAAATCTTTTTGACCTAGTGTTTTGGGTTTTTTGGGGTAGATACCCAGAAGTGGAATTGCTGGGCCCTTCTTTGTCTCTTGTTACAAAGCCTTTGTTTTAAAGTCTACTTTATTTGGTGTAAGTGTTGCCACCTCAGGTTTTTTTTGTTTGTTTGCTTGTTTCCATTTTAACAAAATATTTCTTTCATCCCTTTCCAGTCTGCATGTGTCTCTCAGTCCAAAATTAGTCTCTTGTAGATAGCATATGTCAGGGTCACATTTTGTTGTCAATTCAGCTTCCGTACGTCTTTTGATTGAAACATTTAAGCCATGTGCATTTAAAGTAATTGTTGGTAGGTATATATTTATTGCAATTTTATTATTCATAGTTTTGATCCTCTCATGTTTTTTTCTTCTTCTTTTTAAAGAAGACTCTTTAATACTTCTTGTAATACTGGTTTGGTGCTGATAAACTCCTTTAGCTTTTTCTTGTTTAAGAGGCTCTTTACCTGTCATTCAATTTTAGAGTAATCTTGGTTGTAGGTCCTTTTTCTGCCTCACTTTGAATACTTCTTGCCAGTCCCTTCTGGCCAGAAATGCTTCTGTTTGGAAATCAGTTGACAGTCTTATGGGAGCTCCCTTGTAAGTAACTAACTGCTTTATTCTTGCTTTTAAGATTCTCTGTCTTTCACCATTGGCATTTTAATTATGATGTGTCTTGGTGTAGGCCTCTTTGAGTTCATCTTGTTTCATCTCTTTGCACTTCCTGGACTTATATGCCTATTTCCTTCACCAAAGTAGGAAAGTTTTCCATTATTTTTTCACATAGGTTTTCAATTCTTGCCCTTTCTCCTCCTTCTAGTAAACTCATGATGCAAATGTTGGTATGTCTGAAGTTGTTACACAGACTTATACTATCATCACTTTTTTTTCTTTTTGCTGTTCTGATTAGATATTTTCTGCTTCCTTATCTTCCAAATCTTTGATTTGATCCTCTGGTTTATCTATTTTGCTGTTGACTCTCTATAATGTACTCTTCATTTCAGTTCACTATTCTTAATTTCTGACTGGTTCATATTTATGTTTTCTATCTCTTTGTTAAAGTTCTCATTTAGTTCACCTATTTTCCCCCTAAATTTATTGAGCATCTTTATAACCAGCATTTTAAACTCTGCATTTGGTTGATTGCTTATCTCCATTTAGTTCTTTTTCTGGAGTTTTGTTCTATTGTTATATTTGGGACATGTTTTTTTTCCCCCTCCTCATTTTGGCAGCCTCTCTGTGTTCGTTTCTACATCTCTTGATCTTGGTAGAGTGGCCTTATGTGGTAGGGGTCCCATAAGGCTCAGTGGCACAGCCTCCCTAATCACCCAAGCTGGGCACTCTAGATGCACACTGCACTCCCCACTGTGTGAGCTGTGTGCACCCTCCTGTTGCAGTTGAGCTTTGATTGCTGTTGGCACATCCGTGGGAGGGATTTACCCCCAGGCCAATCAACTATGAAGACTGGCTTCCACTACTGTGAAAAATCAGTTACGCAGGGGCCCACCCCATAGAGCAGGACTTTTGTGGTTCTCTGGTGCCTGCTGAGTCTGACCCTTGTGTTGCTTGTGGACCTTTGAGGGTGGTGCTTCAGTATAACCTGAAGCTGTCCACTGGGTGTGCTGGCTCTGGGGCCTCCTAGGAGGTGCAGGCCAAAGTCAGCTACCACCACCTGTGTCCTATCCAGCCTGCATGAGCTGCAAGGTGATCTGCAGATGGCTGGTACTTGTGTTGGGCTTAGAGGTGCCTAGGAGACACAAAGCAGTGAACTAGCTCCAGCTGCCACTAATGCTGGGCCTGGGACCATTTAGTGAGAGGTACAGGGCATACAAAGACCAGCTGCTGCTTGTTTGAGAGATTGTAGAACGGTTTGAAGACTGAGCCAAGACAGGCCATTTGTACAGAAAAACCACTGCAGATGACTTGGTTTGGCCCATAGTTGAGTGGTTGGGTTCTCAGGCAATCACTAGTGTGGGACAAACTGTGTTAGCCAGGTTGATGGACACTCAGATATGACACCCACCTGCTGGCTCTGTGGGGGGAGGGCTCAGCAAAGGAGCAGTGGCACTGCCAGTACTTCGGTCTTGGAAAAAGCTGCCCCATCCATCCCTCATCCTGATGTTAGACAATTCAGTTCCCCCCTGGATATCCCTGGTACCTTTTGAGCTGCTGCCCAGTGCTGGAGCTCAGAGCAAGTAAGTTCAGGTAAGTCCATGTGTGGGCCCTTTAAGAGGAATGCCTGGGATTTCTGCAGCCCTCTGTCTCACTCAGCCACAATCCTGTTGGTTTTCATAACCATAAGTTATAAGGACTTCTCTTCCCAGCCTTGGAGCCCTGGGCGGGGGACCTGGTATGCAGCAGGACTTCTGGCTTCTCAGGTGGGTTCTCTGCATCCGACATTTCTCTTCTTATTTTTAACAGTACTACGTGGGTATAAAACCAGCACTTTGCCCCTCCTACCAGTTTCAATGTGCCTTCGTCTTTATATCCATAGTTACAGGACTTCTGTTCAGCTATATTTCAGGTGGTTCTGAATGATGGTTGTTCTGTAGTTCAGGCATACTTTTAATATGGTTGTGGGAGGTTCCAGTACCACATTTACCTACACTGCCAACCTGACTGGAACCTTCCATTTGTCCTCCACTTCTTTTTTGCCTCCTACATTGCCAGTAATTGTAAGCACTTAATTCATCTTTGCTGACTGAGTAGTGAAAGAAAGAACTAATTAATATCGATTGTATGTTCAGCAAGGAAAAAGAGTAAGAATCATTTTTGTTTCCTCTTTGAAGTTAGTGGGCTATATAAAGACCAGGGCTTTCTGTAAGTTTAAAGATGGCTTCTAGAATACCCATGTGGCATTGGTCAGAAGACCTACAAACCTACCTACTTACCCACTTGACCTACATATCTACCACAGACAACAATCTGTTATCTTGCTGATTGACCCACACCCAGTGAAGGACATGCTTCAACTCAGCCCCTGAGAACCCCTTTCAGGCAGGGGTCGGCCTGCCCTCCTCCCACAACCTACCCCAATCACTTCATGTTGAGAATACCCTGTGGGGCAGACCATTTGAAGGCTTCTCTCTGTCTTTCCTAGAATTCCCCAGTTCAGCAGAGGCTGCAACAATGGAACTGATAACTGTGTGCAAGCTATCCCAGTTGGGAATGTGAATTGAAGTTTCATGTCTCTTTGTAGAAGAGATGGTAGCCTTCAGCTGTAGAATTGTATGGCACTTGGAGCATTTTTAGAAATTCTGGTTGGGGCGTCCAGAGGCAGGATAATGATAGCAGGTCATAGAGATGCATGGAACACTCACTTTTGGTCAGGTAAAACACGGGAGAGGTGTGTGGGAGGGATGAGTGTCACCGGGAGAGAAGCCTCACCAAGTCACAGGTCAAGTGCCTCTGGGGCAGGCAGTTCTTGTGGGAAACCTAGGGTATACCTTGCCTTAAAGAGAAAGGACTGAGCAGATGTGAGAAATGGCTGTATTGCTGAACTGGGATATAAGTAGAGGGAGAACTGGGCACAGCTGGGACTCCCTGCTTCTGCCATTGTTTGAGTAACCTTTCTGTGCTGATGGACACGGTATCTAACATTGGTGGAAGGGTGATGGAGAGTGTTCCCTTTCGGAGGCTGCCTGACTCGCAACAGAACTGCCCTCATGATCCATTAGGTGGGACCCTTCACACTGCAGTGCCTGAGCCCCACCCTGCCCAAGAGGACCATGGTGGACTGAGGGAGGAAGAGGACAATTACAGAGGTTCTGGGAGGTGAATCAGAGCCACTGCCAGAGCTGCTCTTCTTTGTCCTCTGAGCCAGCGAGGTGCCGAAGCGGAGCGTCTCGTAGACAGGGTCCACCTTATTGCCACAGGCTGCAATGGAAGAGAAAGCTCATCTGAGAGAAAGTTTGCCTCACCTCCCTGTCAGGAATGCATCCAATCACCTATCACATATCCTGGATTGCATCATGTGCCACCTCTCAAATGCACCAAAAACAGGGTCTGAGCAGCAGAGCCACTTCGCCCTGGGAAAATGGACTTTTTGGGTTAAACTTTCTTCACATATGTGACCCCCATGACTTAGGCCCATTTGCCAGGTCCCTCCACTGCACCCAGCACCCTCTGCTCCCAAACACTTCCTGGTGGATTGCTTTTTCCTCTTTTGTTATCTGTCCTCAGGACGCCAATCTCCAGTTTCTCCCCAGAGACCAGCTTTACTCCCTCTAGTGCAAGGCTTGGCTCTCCCAGATACAAAGCCTCGAGATGCAAAGTTTGCTGTAGGAAGCAAGTGTTTTTGGAAGAATTTGACCCTCCCAGGCCTCATGAATTCTAATGCCAAACTTTTCAGTTTATAAATTTTTAGTTTAAAACTCACCCCCTTACCCCTGCCAAGAGGCAAACACTGATGTAGAGATTTTGAGAGAAAAAAAATAGAAGTACATTGAACAATATTGTTAAAAAATAAATTCAAACCAAAAAACATCTAAATGTGTAAGGCATTTTTTTTGTCCTCATTAAAGAATCACTAATACTCATTGAGTGCCTTCCCAGCATTGGTCTATAATTTAAATTTATTTTTTACAACAATTACGAAAAGCAGCTATTATGGTTCTCATTTTATAGGATTGACAGGTTGGGTAGGTTGTTCAGATGCACACTGGTCAGTGGGGAAGCTGGGCTTTGAACCAGGTTTGTGGGATGCCACACCCCATGCTCTCTCCACTCCACCGTGCTGCTGGTGGGTGAGGTAGCCTTAGGAACTTGGGTGTGGTTTGAGATTCATCATGGAGAAGATGAATATTCCTGCAGAATTTGCTCCACCTTATGTTTCCCTTTCAGCAAAATATACAATCATAACCCCATCAGCCACCAACACAAATGCACAAACACACCCCATGGTTTTCACAGGCCTGGGAGAACAGTAGCCATTAACTCTGACATCGCTGCTCCAATCCCAGTTCAGCCCACCAATGTCCCAACTCACCAATGGGCATAACTTCTTTAATGCATCCAAACTGTTCATGAATGAGCAAGGGGGAGCTGTAGTAACGCCGAAACCCCTTGGGCTGGAGAAAGAATGAGAAAGAGAAGGGCTGAATGCCACTGATGAAATGGAGAAAATCACATAAGAACTCTAAAAATTAAACAGTTGCTTTTTCTAGGGACACCTCCTTTTCTCCCTTTAAGTTGTGACTTGTCCTAAGCCACACTCCATCCAGAAAGCAAGCCTCAGCCCTGCCCTTCCCTGTCCTGTTTCATTCCTCTCTGCTGCCCATGGCAGCTTCCCTTATCTCTGGGATCCTCATTATCTCCCAGAATACAAATGGATCATGATGCCTTATTTTACCACAGCTTATTATTGTGGTTTGTTAAAAACCATAAAAGGCTTGGGAATGGGAAAGCAGATGTCAGAGGTCAGCCTAAAGGTCTTTGCCTATCTGATGAGCTTTACCCAGGACCATTTGCTTTGTTTGCTAGATTATATTCTGTTTTTCTGACCTCTCATTCATGGTCTGTGCCTTGGCATTTGGGAATCACCATTAGAGGAGGAGGAGGGGAACAGGTAGGTAGGGTCTTAGAGAAGAGGACGTTGTCAATGAGAGTAATATGATGAACTCTTTAAGAGCCTTGGCTTACTATATTCCAGAATTGAAAGAAAACTTAGTGGCCCAGCCTCTGTTGGAATTCCACAATCCTCTCCAATAATACTTGCATTGGAATTCTCTGTTGTTTGCACATTGCCAGTGATGGAAGCTGGCTGGGTGGGGGAGCTTGCACTAACCCTGGAAGCAGGTCTTTGTTGATTTTGTCTCTGATTATTAATACTTGGTACCTACTGATCCTAGGTCCTTTTTCCTGGAGCCACAGAGGACAATACTTCTTTTGTGTGACAAGTATTATCGTTATTATTATTATTTATTATTGAAGAGAACTGTTATGCTATAAGTATCTCTACGGTAGAAATTCTTGGTTCTTTCTACAATTCTTTGGCCATCCTAGTTTTGAAATATACTCTGGGTTGCTTTTTAACTATGTGTGACTCCAGTAATGAATGAAGGCCACATTCCTGAGATGGTATGATCAGTCCAGAAAGGGCCAGGGTTACCCAACCTCTCTTGGTTTGGCCACCATGATTCTATTGCAGTGCTGCAGATTTTCATTACTCTCTCTACTTTTGGGAGGGTGGCTAATCTCTGGCCCATTCATGATACTCACTGAGCTGTCAGCCAACTGAGGACTAAAATGACCAACTACCCTATTTTGCCTGGGGCTGAGACAATGTTCCTGGGGTGCTTAAGTTTCACTTTTATAACCTAGAGAGTCCCAGGATGTGGGACTTCCAATGCTAAAACTGAGCAAGTCCCAATCTGGGACAAGTCAGTCATCCTATTCAGGATACCAAGTCCATTTTCCAAGTAGAACATTTATCCCTTATGCTGACAAAGCTATTCCTCTGCTCTATCACTTTGCCAACTAGGAAGCCAAGTTGGCTGGCCAGGGATTCTGGGGCTGCCTTCCAGGTGTCACTTCTCAGGGGTGCTGCAGGGAAGGAGTTTGAACAGAGTGATCTCATAGGGGCAGGCAAGTGCCTGTGCAAGGCGTTCTTGGGGCTCCCTCCTGGCACGAGCCCTTACCAGCTTGCCCATGCACCGCTGGGGTGCCAGGCCATCCAAGCACTTGTGGTGGATGCTCATCTTACAGGCTTTGCAGCGTAGTCCGTGCTTTGCATTTGTTCCTGTCAGACACACGGTGAGCTTTGGTTAGGATACAACCTACCCTTTGCTGGTGACTAGTATGAATTCGCTGGAAAAGCGATCACTTGCATGACCCAGGGAATTCTTCTCTTCTGTGACTTGTGCATGAACCTTTCAAAAGGGGCAAAATATTATGGTAGAGTCTTTTAGCTTCTCCCACACTTCCTACCTAAGCTGTCAGGTTTGGTTCTTTTCATTGTGTTTCTATCCATTACCCCAGAAAATCTTAGCTGCCTTCACTCTCATTGTTCTCTCAATTCCAAGTAGCAAATTCCATTTTCTTTGCTCTTTATATAGGTCACCTGTTTCTGCTCTTCTGTGTCTACTGCTGAGTAGTGCAAGTCCAGAAATTTTGTGCATGTTTACCTGAATTCCTACCACTGACTCTGAGTTGTTGCGTAACTCTCAGAAAAATGACCAATACAGGTGGAACAGATATCTCACGGTGTATCACAGCTGACTACAGATACAAAATGGGGCTATCCCAAGATATGTACAATTCATCATCTTCTCTACCATAGCCTCCTCCTCACCCAAACTACCATTATCCCTTATCTGAATTAATTTTCCATTGAGCTGGCTTAATCTGTTTTTGCCTTCCTCTGATCTGTGTAGAGTGACCAGGGTAATTTTTTAAAAAGATACTTCGATCAACTCCTTCTCTTGTTTTACCATCTTTCAGTAGGTTCTCCCACCTTTCTGGTGTTATATAAAATGCTCACCATTGTGATGAGGCTTTGTATGGTTTGGTGGGAACCCACTTCTTACTTTTATCATAGGCCAACCCCTCTTGTTCCCTATGCTGTAACCACATGATGTTCTTCAGGTTCCTTGAATGCACAAGCTCTTTAATGCCTCAGGATCTTTGCACAGGCAGCCCTATATGCCTAGGATGCTGTTTCTATCATTCTTCGATTGTCTTACTATTCTTCATCCTTTGAATCACTTGTCATTTCTTCCATGAAGTTTTCCTGGAAACCTCCCCCTTCTACTGTCTAAATTATCTTTTTCCCATTATTCCTTCTCATAATACTCTGTCAAGGCATTTTTTTAAATCATAATGATTTATTTGAGAGTTTGTTTGTGTCTGGCTTTTCCTCTGGACTATGAGTGCAGTGAGGCTAAGTTCATTTGTCATTGTATGACCAGCTCTGAGTACGACGACCAATGTATTAAATAAGTTAACAAGCCAAGTCTTTCATAGTCACACATACATTGAAACAGTGGTGCCTGATTTAGATAATAAATTGAAACCATGATTCATTGATGGTTTAGAAATGACATTCAAAGCTGAAAGAGGACTTGAAGCTCATTTATATATATGATTTTATTCTAGAGATGAGCAGCCTGAGGGTCTAAGCAGTGAAATGATTTGCCCCAGGTCCGAGAAGGGCCTGCCTAGTACCACTCCTATTGCTTGACCCACGCACTTCCTCCCATTCCTTGGTTTTCTTAACCTACATGAAAATGTACTTGGGTGTAATAAGATGGTAAAATAATGGGTACAAAAACCTGACATTCAGCTGGAAAAAAAAACCCAAACCTAAAACAACAGGGAAAATTGGGACTTGGCAAGGGCCTAGAAAACCCTTCAGGAGGTAATACCTGAAAAACCCCTCAGGAAGGATTCATTTAACACAAAGCATGTCTGCTGTTATAACCACAGAAAATCAAAGTGATCTATAAACACGCCATGAATTACTGGGTGTGTGTGCATGTTCACCAGTACTGGCTGGAAAGTCCGTTTTTACTTTTGAGAGGAACAACTTAGCTGAAAGACTGCAATGCCTTCAAAAGACAGGACTTCGAAAGGAACCACTCTCTCTTTTTTTTTTTTTTTTGGATTACAGAAGGCTATTTGTGCCCTTTGTGAAAATATAAGTAAAAGCTTCAAAGAACAAAGTTATTTCATTGTGTGCTGGACTCTGAAAGAACACCATTATGTATTAAAGGCTGTTTCCCCTCCTTCAGACCTGAACACCATAATTCTAGTTTTCTTTGTCTGTTCTAATACAATCTACTATTTTGTATGAGTCAGACCACCAGCAATTATTTGGGTTTAGGTGTTCCAATTTCTGCTCTGGAAGAGCAGGAATGATTGAAGAGGAAAATTTATATGCTGTGGTTCAGAGTATAATTCAAAGGAATAACTCATATCAAGCAGTGGTATTAGTTTACCGCAGCAAAATGAAGAAAGCTGTGGTTTGACATGTGCTATTAATAAAGTGACCTCTGTCACAAAGACATCACTGCATGTGACCCTAATGCCTCAAGCAGAGTGAGAAAAACATGAATTTAAATTCACATCTGTCTCACGCTGGCTCTTTAAACTTCAGAAAACTATTAACATTCCCGAAGCCTCAGCTGTCTCTGTATCAAATGGGAGTAGTACTAACTACTCTGAGGGTTTCTAATAGTCACAGTGTCAAAACATATGCAAAGTGGATTGTATATGTCGAAATACTTGGAAACATGGAAATGTCACTGGACTTTGAGTAAACATAATAGACTGACTACATGATTTCACTTATTCATTAAAAAACCCCAATGAAATTACAGTCCAAGAATTTAAAAAATGTATAAATCTCAAATGACAAGGTTACTGGGAAGCACAGTGAGAGTAGAAGAGAGTTCAACATAGATTTGGAAGATAGAGAGCAACTCGAGGAAAGGTAATAAATTTAGCACAAAAGAGGGAGACTGAATTTCCCAACAGCAACTTAGAAACTAGAAGACCGTGGACCTTGAACATGTGCGGAATTTCAAAAATCTGGGAGACAGTAATTTTTGACCTAGAATCTTATATTCAGCCAAATTACCAATAAGTATAAAGACAGAATAAACACCTATTCACATCTTCAGGAATTCAAAATATTAACTTTCTACATACCCTTTCTTAGAAGACTAATGAATGATGATGTGCCTTGGAAAGGTGAGGGAATAAACCAAGGAAGAGGAAATTGTCAGATCCAGTGCCCACAGGAAAACTCGGCAATAACCCTAGTTAGACAGTTGCTACGAGATGAAAATGGAACTTTAAAGTTTACTGATGCTTTTGAAGTTTGGATATTATAATAGATATGACATTTACCAGATATATGGAGCATTTGGAAAAAAAAAACAATTTTAGGTGCACAAAAGTCAAGAAAATGAAAAGGGTAATTTCTAATTTAAGAAAATGTAAAACCTGCATAAGGAAAGAAATATAATCACAGGAAAGTGCTTGAATCAGAAGTGTGCAATAGTCACAACAGTGTATAAACAGGCCATCTAGTTAACACAAAACTGTGATAAAAGTACTTGGGAAGATGAGAGCAAGGGGGCAGAAATTGTGATGTGACTCTTTTGGGACAGCGAGAGTGGAAAAAAGGAAACAAGGAGAGCGTTGGAGGGCTGAGAACTGAATTCTTATCTCCTATTGCAGAAAGCCAATGCATGTTTGAGTAATCAGTAAATAGTAGTAGAAGCACAGCATTTAGAAATAGTGAAATAAATGCCAGAAAAGACAAAGAAGTTGAATGTGGTTGCCATTTTGGAAGTTAGTCTGGGTTATAGAATGAGACAGTTTTCATGGTAGAATTTGCAGTACCATATTTAAACTCATCTCATGTACTACTGTGACAAAAAGTGAATAAATAATGTTACTGGGAACTGGGTTAAGTCAGTGCCTTGGGATAAAGCAGTCCTTGGTATATGAAGATGTAGGGTTATAGGCTCCGCTGCTCTATAGCCCAGGGCAGGCCCTTGCGAACATGCAGGAGGAAAGTGCAGGAAATAGAGAGTCCTTCCCACGGCAGACTTCACTGCCGAGCCCTCTGAGCCGGTGATGACTCACGAGCTCAGCAATGCATTAGGAAATAAGGCCACAAAGGCATGCGCGGATAAAAGGGTACACTGCCGTTTCTAGTTTTGATATGCACTAATTCAGGGACATATTTTTTGTTTTGAAAATGGCATCGATGTCCTAAATGCCTTTAATCAAAACAATGTTCTCATCTTGGTTGATTCTCTTAAAAGGAGGAGTGGAGCTGAAGTAGAAATGGAAGAATATAAAAGTACAAAAGCAGGGCAGCTGTTTTACAGCTTATTAAAACTGCCATGCCAAAACTGTATGACATTAGTATGTTCATACCTACATATGTGTTTGTACTTGCATATATGATATATAAAGATATCATGGCAGGGTGGAAAAAGTCAGGTCTCAGGTATCAACAGGCTTAGATATTAGTCCTCAGCTCTGAGACGTTGGACAAGGCACTCACTCTCTGAGCCTCAGTCTTCCCATTTGAGAAAGGGGTCATGAGCACAGAATGGGAAAATCAAGGGCCCTGTCTCTGGTAAGCATAACTCACCATGCAAAAGTCAGCTGTGACATGGCTGGAAGGTGTGTCATCAGCATTTCTGAACAGTGACTTTCTCTGAGGGCATGATTTCCAATTTCCTTAAGGCTTACCTGGACGTTTGGAACTCAGGACTGGATCAGGCATGACCCAGACAGAGCCCCACCCTACTGTCCTGTGTGCACCGCATCCAAATCCCTCCTTATAACCCGATTTACAAACAAGCAAATCGATCCTTGTCTTGTAAAAGATCCTTCAAATACCTTTTGAACTCAAGTATGACATAAAATATTAAAGAAATGTTTCATTTATATAATGGAATAATTCACTCCATCATTGTTTTGTAAATAAGATTTACATTGATCAACTCTATTATTTTTCATTTAAATACTGTTTAAACATAGTCGTACATAATAGTTATATTTTGTTTATGTACTAATGTGATAAGTTGACGGTTTAAGGGCCTCTAACAACCTGAGGCAGACCAAAATGCTACATTTTCAGAGCCACGACTAAAAAGAGAATGAGAACCATTGAGCACCGGCACTGCATTCAAGCCGGAGTGAGCTGCCAGGGCACCCGGAACTGGCCCCTCAGCTCTCTAGGAACGTGTATGTCCACAGTGCACGGTTGGCCTTCGT